TATATGTATATATATATATGTGTATGTATATATGTATATATATATATATGTGTATGTATATATGTATGTATGTGTATGTATATATGTATGTATGTGTATGTGTATGTATGTATGTATATATATGTGTATGTATATATGTATATATGTATGTGTATATATGTATATATATGTGTATATATGTATATATGTATATATGTGTATATATATGTGTATATATGTATATATATGTATATGTCCTATACTGATATTTGAGCAAAATAATAACGCTACACTTTCTTTTTCTATGTTTTATAATAACTTCTACCAAAGCTTCACATGAGGGTTCACCAAGAAGAGAAGAAGTACCTTTGTCCAGATTGCGGCTACAAATGCAAGTGGGCGACTCAGCTGAAGTACCACATGACCAAGCACACAGGTATCAATCAGCAAGGCATAAAGCTTGATGATTATAATACTTTGTGACTTTTCAACATTAGATAACTACCTGAACAATGATTTGTTTTTTTTTGCCTCATTGCCTCTGTCATCAGTGTCCCACTCCCCAAATACTGCTATGTTATTAGTGTGAGGCAGGATACCGTCAGCACTGTAGCCGTTGTTTGCACTGTTTGTGCTATTAGCACCGTTTAGCTTCCAGCAGCCGGCTCAGCTGTCGCCATGTTGAGAGCCGTGTGGAGGCAATCCCTCAATCATTCACTTGCTCTGAATTTTGAATTTAGCATCTTCCCAAGATTTGTAACAAATAATATTTTAGCTTACACCTTTTTATTGCATGATTTTCCCCTGTTAGCAAGCTACGAACACTCATCCGGATTTTGGTTTTGTTGGTAAGGTTTACAGATTTAGTGAATTGTAATTGTCTCATTTATTTTGTCTTGTGCAGGGGACAAGCCATTCGCCTGTGACGAGTGTGACTACCGCACTAACAGAGCGGATGCTCTCCGCGCCCACCGGGACACGCAGCACTGCGACCTGCGGCCTTATGTCTGCGAGAAATGCGGCAAAGCCTTCAAGACTAGCTTCATACTGAAGACCCATCAGCGGCAGCACAGCGACGATCGGCCGTACTCGTGCGGCCTGTGCCACAAGGCCTTCCGCTGGCCGGCAGGTCTCAGACATCACTACCTCTCGCACACGAAGCAGCAACCTTTCTGCTGTCGCCACTGCTCCTACCGAGCCAAGCAGAAGTTCCAGGTGGTCAAGCATTTGCGGAGGCACCACCCGGAGATGTCAGTGGAGCAGGGCGTGGTGAGGGACTCTGAAGCGGTTAGCCTGACCCTGAAGGAGGCCTTGCAGGGGACGCTTGATGAGAGAGCAGCAGAAGTGGAGGAGGAGGAAGGAACGGCCGACGAAGCACAGGCAGTAAATGAGGAGGTTGTGCAAAGAGAGACAAACCGCTGAAGAGAGGGCACAATAGATGCAGTGGTCATTTCAGATTGTAGATGGCAATCATTGCCAAAAGGAACAGTGAAATAAATATCAATATGTATAACTGACCACTTGATTTTTACACTGTAAAAAGCTCATAAAACTCATCAGTGCATGCTGATGAGGGAGTGTGGATTGAAAGGAAGGTGTGTTCTGTGAAAAGTATTTTGATATTGGTTGTGATTAAAAAAACTTTAATATTTAAAGTGAATAAATTAACTTCAATGAGTCAAAAATGTTTTGGAATGACTGAATGTTGATCCATTCCAAAAATGCATGTATTTACAGACCCATATACATACAGTACATGTACATTATACACATTACCTTGTGTAATTAGTGCATTAGTTATTAGAAATAACTCAAGCAGACACTTAATCGTAGATTAACCATCATAATGCAAAGTTCTGAGTAATTCATAATAGTAGGTTTATAATACTGGTATTTGGCAGTTTTTTCACGTTCCGTTATTACACTTTCAGTTATATCGGGTACTGTAACTTCCACATATACAATATATTTAAAGGCAGACGGGTATATTTTTACATTCTAGACATGCAGTCATCCTCCATGTTACCTCATTGCCCAGACAATTCAAAAAACCTGAGGGCAATATCTCTATAAAAAGTTGAATTTAGTCTAGTTGGTCTAGTTTCTTGGTGAATTTGGTAAAGGACATGCATCAACCCCATTTCATAATGACTCTCTTTAACTGATTCAATCTAGTTGAAAAGAGTTCTCGATTACAAAAAGTAAATATCTTGTTGAAGTGAATAATGCTGAGAAACAAATAACTGATTTCTGACACATTACCCGCTGATTGCTATTTTAGAGGTGCAATGGGTATATCCAAAATTTGGCCAAACTGATGAAAACCTTGAGAGACGGTCAAAATAAACACTTATCTTATAATCTTAACATTTACATTTAGCTTGCTTTGCTCAGTTTTAGCAAGACTGTAGTAGCAAGAAAACCACACAAAAACCATATAGCAAATCCGTTTGGAAAGTTTTTCGGTATGGTTTATGGAAAGCCACGCCAATGTTTAGTATTGTTTTGCTTCTTTATATACATGCTGTTCTGTGGAAGCCCATTTCCGTCAGCAAAGAAAAAAGAAAAAGCCAAAGTTTTTTTTCTTGTGGAAAAAAGTAAAAAAATAAAAATGCACCAACTCTTTTGCTGCATCCATCTGTAACCATGACACAGACCAGATGTTTCCAGTTTCTGTTTAATGAAGGTTGCCACCTCAGCCAAATCGGTTATATTCTTTCTACTCCAGAGCTGCTTCTTGCTTAAAATCCTTTCAAGGGTGCATTTGCTCAGTACAATCCACATGAAACAGCAAGCAATTGAAGTATTTCATGTGTTGTAAAGCCACGTTTAAAGTAGTCTTCCATGTACTCACGATCCATTTATATGTCAAATGTAGGGTAACCTGTGAAGAGCTGCTTCTACGACTGTTGTGTTAAAGTATCTCATAATTTCGTCCGAAAAATTCATAATTCAAATTTTTTCTATTTTTTTTTTTTTGCTGGCGGAAATGAGCTACCATACTGTTCTCATTCTTCATCAGGCAAATGAGGACACAGGACTGTGGTCCACCTCTGGCTTCGTATCCTCACATGTGACTTCCTCATGTGAGCTCTGAGATGCTGACGTTGACAAAGAGGGAGGCGGGAGGGATGGCTGTTCCATCCTTGGAGAGCAGGTGAATGTGACGATATCCTGGAAAGTAAAGACGTCGTGAGGAATTTGGATAAGAGAAAGCTTTCAAACTGAGTCTCAGGAGTTCTCCTGCATCTGGTATTTGAGGCAACATATGATTTAATCTACATATTTAATAAATACTGCAGTGCGCTGTAACTGTGCTGTACTCTCTGCTCACCTGCTTGGATGCACGTAAACGGAAGAGTGAACTGTCCAATGAAGTCGTTCCTGGACGCCTTATCGTAGTCCTCCACCTCGAAGCGTACCAGGGCCAGCTCGGGGGCGTGGATGACAAAATTTAAAGTTTCATTCCACACTGGGTTAAAACCTGCAGGTAGAGGGCAGTAGAGGAGTGAGTGAGACTTTGTTTTAATCTCCACATTCTTATAGTACTGGACATGCTCTCACCATTGTTGTTAATGTGACTGGTCTCTTCCTTGGCCTGGTCCTGTGGGACCCCATAGATCTCCACTCTGACCAGGGGGTCTACAATAGAGCCCTCTTTCTGATTCACCTTTGGGAGCTGCTGCCCACTGATCACCTGATAAACACACAAGCAGATCTGCGTATTAGATACAGACACCACTGCCCTGTAGTACTCTCACACAGAAGAATAGAAGAATATTGCATTTTTTTTTTTTGTTTGCAACCTCAAACCAACAAGCAGTTTTGAACCTGTATGGATAAGCGGAGTGGTTTGTAGCCTTGCCGCTCCTTGGGCTTCTCCGGACTGAACTGAGTGCTGCTGTCTCTCATGAAGTCAGGCTTGAGGACGTAGCCGCAGCAGCCGTTCTGCCCGAACAGCCCGTCATTCAGATCCATTTCCAGACCTGCTGTCTGGAAGTTCAGAGCCACTTTAGGAAGAGAAAAAAAAAAAAACAGAAAGGAGATAATGTAATTAACTGTGATTTTTTTTATTTTGGTTGGCTGCATCACATGATTTCCCAGAACCAGAGTCTACAATCTCGCCATCAAAGTTCATGTGGGAAGTCCAGAGCAGACGGCGTCAGTTTAAGGCCTCATGACAGGAAGCATCTGTCACGTTAAACTCCTCCAGCTGCTGGGTGATGCTCTGTCTGACCCAGACCTCCTAAATTATAACTACGTATATTTACTCAAGTACTTTACCTAAGTAACATTTTGAGGTAATTGTACTACTTGAGTATTTAAGTACCACTTTATGCTACACTATACTTCTGCTCTTCTGCATTTTGGAGGCGAACATTGTCGTTTTTACTCCACTACATATATTTGATAACTTTAGTCACTCGCAGACTAGATTAATAATACAAAATACAATTCAACTAATGAATGATGACATATGTTTGAAGATTAAACTGCCTAGCGGTATATAAAGTAATTAGAATTAGCTCCACCTTTACCAGTAGCAACATTAAAGTAATGAACACATCAATGCATTAATCCAACATGATTTAAAGTCAAAGGATGATTTAATCGGGTTTAAAAATGAATCCTTAGATGTTCAAAATACAGCGACAGTATTATTTAATGTTGTAGTTGCAAGTGCTATTCATGTTTGGCAAATTAAACTGTGCCAATTATTACTGACTAAATCTATATCCATGCCCAGGTTCCTAAGTTGTCATGTACTATAGGGCATTCATTCCAAATGATTGAATTTATGATCCTGAAAGTGCTTCAACTCAAGTGGCTGAAATAATACACGCAATCACGTTTTCCGCCCTATGCTGAAGTGTTGGAGGGGCTGTGGACGTCAGAATACTGAGGTATTAAGATTTGAAACAGGAGACGTTGGTGATTTTAGAGGCAACGTTTACATTGAACCAGCAGCGTGCGACCTTCCCCTCACCTATCTGGCAGCCCACATTCCACATCTCCTGCGGGTTGTAGTTGGAGGATTCAGTCCTGAGGCCACCGGGGTAGATCCTGCTCAGCTGCCGTGTGTTGTACTGCACAAAATCTGTCCCTGAAGAGAGGTTTGCAGAGAATTAGGCCACTAAATGTCTATAGCAGGAACACAGAGAAATCTACTCTTCCTCCATCGACTCAGACATAATTATAAATAATATCATAATGTAAAAAGAAAGATACACTTTGTTACACATAGATAACATATCATAATCATAAAAAAATATGTAATTGTTCCCTTGTGTTCTTGTTCACCTGCTTCCTTAGCAAGCCTCTTGGTCTTGGACTCAGAGAATGAGGACATCTCACAGCATTCGGCGTGTGAACGAGCATGCTCAAAGCCATGGAAGTGCACACTCTTGCAGTAAACCACCAGGTCTGACAGCTCCCTGGACAGTTTGGACTTGGATTTCTGCAAAAGTGGAGAATAAAAAGCAAAATGAGTCAACAATCGAATCATATTCCCATCACTTTAATAGCACCTATGGTGAGAAGTGGCCATATGGTTCGAACGTAACCCTGTAAATTAGAGGCCAGTGATTAAATAATAGTTACCTGGGTATTTTTTTACTACTAAAATGAAATTGCAACTTATTAGTATCAAAAAAAGTTCAACAAAATACTAAAAAAAATACATTAAAAAACAAATAATTTGTAATTTGTCTCAAGTTTAAACAAAACTATTATTAGTCTTAATTAAAGGACCATGCACACACACACAAAATACATTAATCTCAAAATCAATCACCAGACACTAAAAATATTAATCTACATGGAGCACCATTACACACTCTTTATCACACTAACAATTATAAGGCAAGTCTACAAGCACACATCTCTCTCTCCTCCATCACCTCTAATTAAATCATTAATGCCACAAATGCCTTCCAGTTAATCTCTCTCTGCCCAGCAGGGAAATGCTGACACAGAGGTTTTTCCCAACAAATAAGGAGACGCACAATGGATGCTGTTTTCTTTATCTGTCTTCTTTTAAATATCCCTGTTTCCTGTTTCTTTTCACTATCTCCCACCTTCTACTCCAGTCTCGCCTCACTGTCTCTTATTTCCCGCCTCATCTTCCTGTCTCTCTCTCTCTCTCTCTCTCTCTCTCTCTCTCTCTCTCTCTCTCTCTCTCTCTCTCTCTCTCTCTCTCTCTCTCTCTCTCTACAATCAAGCTCCATTCACATCTGTCTTGATTTACTATCACTCTTTATATAATCCTCTGTCGTCTTCCCTTCCACTATCTATAAGGAACTTGTCTAGGCATGGTCAAATCGTGCTAAAATTAATCAAGTTTCTTGAATAAAAAAAAAAAACATTGAGATGTGAGTTCTTACAGAAACATCATAAGGTATCAAATGTATGTACCTTCCCCGTTTCATTCAAACACTCAGCAGGTGGGTCCCCTGGTGACAGGCTCTCAGCATCATCATTGGCCATCTCTTCCTCATCACTTATTTCATCTGTCAGGGTTTCATCGACACAGTCTCCTGGACCGCTAATCTTCTTGGCCTTCAGCAGAATTTTTCCCCTCAGTTCCTATACGATGAACACCAACACAGGCACAGATTGGTGAGAGCAGTTCGTCTCAATGCTGGATGTGATAATTCGCCTCCACTTCATTTGCGGCATTTTGCTGTTCGTTTAGAAGTAGATTTGAGGACTTGATTAAATCCAGTCACATGAAGAAATCCATTAATGTTATCTGAATGTGCCGAGTGAGGGATGCAACGCGGGAAAGACTAGCATGACATATTGACAATGAACTCAAACGTCACAGTTATTGAGTACTTGTTGTCTTCGGTACCCAGACTACTCCTAAAGGTGGTCCATCTTCCTGCACTTTGTCGTCTCCTAACAAAATGAAGCAATGCACCACTATTAGATCGCCGAAATCCTCACTGGAATTCCTCGTAGCATGTATCTGCCATTACTCCAAGTTAGCATTGATTGTCCTGAGTGCTCTAATGGAAAATAGATTGGAAGTTATACCATGGCTGTGCTTTCAGGGTGAGTGGAAGATGGATAATAAGGCACACACGGAGCCGTTCAAACTCTCTGAATTGTAAATGATACCTAAGTTTCCCCCAGATCAGGCATGGTCTGAAAACATTTCGTTCCGAAAGGGTAATCACTGACTCAAAGCAGAATGTTCACCGAAGCTTCATATCACACTTTAAAATGTTGAATCAAACAAGAATGTAACAGCATCGCTATTACAAGATGAAACACAAAGACAGCCATGCTAACACCTCTGTAGTAACATCTGCTATCAGCTCAAAACAAAATACTCTTTATTTGCCGGTCCGATCAGAGAGACTGAGAGGAAATGACACCAACAATAAAACCTGAAAGATTCTGGGATTTTGAGAAAACATTCGGGGCTTGAGCCCCAAACCCCAAACAGATTCTCACCTGTGGAGACGGAAGCTGTTGAGGGACCTGCCCATCCAGCAGGGTGGTCAGTAGTGTGTCACCCAAGATTTGACTTAGGTGCTTGGCCATGACTGTCTGCTGCTCCACGCCACAGTGATTCTCAAGAGACAGGATGACTGGGAAGTCCGATGCCTATCAAACAGGAGAGAGAAGACACAGTAGTGGCTTTTTTTTAAAATCGTATCTGTTTTCTGTCTTATTTACATTGCACTTTGATCAGCTACAGCAAACTCAGTGGTAAAAGCACTGTATTGAGTTTCCATTAAGCCACGATCCTCCAGGGCAGTTCCTGCATCTTTCTAAAGTGGAAGGAAAGTTCCAGCGGGATGAAATAGAGAGGTGGAGACTCGTGAGGAGTTCCTGGTAGTTTTCCATGTCGGTCAGTCAGCAGGGGTACATTTGATTCCAGGGGCAGGGAGGGTTACCAACTGCTCCATGTGTGCCTCACACTTTTCTGGGCACACAGACAGTCCTGTCAGTGGGTTTATTAACTGCTCGCAGTGGTTGGAGAAAACACATTTTTTTAAGATTACTTTCAGCGCCGTGTAGCCATGAAGATACTTTTCATTTCATTTGACTTTTATTTTGTTTGTGCTGCTCACAACATTGAAGAATATCAACATTCTGGATAACCCACAGACCACACTACCAAGTTTTTATAGGGACTATTTCTTCTGTTCATAGGCAAACTGTTCACAGTTAGGTCTGTAACTGGAAAATGGATTCTGGCAAGACATATTTTAACTTAAAATGAAAACCTGAGCGGGCTGCGCGGCTGGACACTGCCAGCTGTAAGTGATGATAGATGTTTTCTGTGAAATTTGGAAGTGCTGCTCACCTTGAAGGCGTATTCCTTCAGCGTCGAAATGACGTCTCTGAAAAGAATCTTAGAAGTCAAAGTGTGACCATGATACACGACGGGTTCCCCGTCACTGCCGTCCCAGCAGTCCACCTCTACACAACGGCAGCCTCTCTTCAGGGCTCTACACACACACACACACACACACACACACACACACACACACACACACGTAAGTAAACTGCATTGTTTTGTTTTTTTAAAGCTAAAAAGTTCAACTCCCTGATCTCTGATCAGTACATTAAATTTGTTTCTGTATGCTTTCTTTTGATTGTCAAACCTCCGGTTCCATTAAAACAAGTACCAAGTCTAAACTGTGTTGCGTGTGTGTGTGCAGCAGTCCTCACTGGATGTATGCCTCCCGGCTGCTCTGTCCTCGCAGCTGGTCCTCCAGGAGGTAGGTGTTGTGTGAGGAGGAGATGAAGTAGTGGCTAAGCGGCTGGCTCATGTCCTGGTGAAGCTGCCGATGCTCAGGTTTAAATACGGAGCCCTCCCGTGAGCACAAGTACATCTGGAAGCCATCCAATGACATGGCGCTCTGCTTCTTGGCTGGGTATCATAAAGATGGGTGTTTGCACAAGAGCACAATCCAGGGTTATATGAAGTTCCAAACAAATTTCCAAATCTACCAGGACTCTAGATAAAAGGCTATTGACTTCAGTACTATTCTCAGATCAAGAAGTGCAGGTCACGGGGTATAAGTCTTTGCTGAGGTGCAGGAGTTTAATAAATATTAGCAGACTGGAAAGAAAGGCATCCACACGCTCAAATGATGTGTTGTGTGTTGCAAATGTTCAATGAGGTTTTAAGTCCCTGCTATATGGCTCCAGGGATGACAGTCTTTTGGTGAGTTGGATAGTCCACTACTTTAGAGTAGTGGACTATCATAGACTGACATAGACAGACATAGAGTGCTGCAGGAAAACTCCTGAAATTAGTCGGTATTTTTCTACTTCCGTTTCCCTTGTCTCAAGGTCAATTTCTTTATGGGTTTTTGGTTAGATTACTGAAATGACGTCTGAGGTTAACACAAGTTTAAGAGATTTCAACATTTTGTTCTTCGATATAAAATAAGTAGCTTTTAAGTGTCTACATGAGACTACGGAATGTCATCACAGCCTCGTTGTGTATACTCGTGCTCATGTGGCCGTGGTGTAGTTTGTTAGTAGCCTAATGTTCGCTTTTAACTGCTACCGATTGCATTCATGCTTCAAAAATGATAAAAGTGGTGTTCATTCGTGAATATTATCTTGCTGAACATAAGTATCATAAACTTGTGTTTGCCACAGAGCTTATTTTCTGCAAGAATCTATAATCCAATTGAAAAATCCCACTGGCTTTGTGTCGAGGGGAACCAGTGCGATGCTAACTTCCGGGGTTGGCTGACAAAAATACGTCATACTGCCACTACTCTATATAGCTATAGGCTATTGTATATGTGTTGATTTATGACATAGGTATTGGAAAAGTCAAGTTCTAACACGAAATAAATATTTAACACTAGAACACCTCGTGCATATTCCGAATATTGCTTCAATCATGCGTGGGTGTATTTTATAGCAGTTGTGCAACTGGGCAACTCCTCTTGAGCTCCAGCCGCCCCTCAGGTATCATGTGTGATATACATGAAGACGCACTGCTGTCAGCCACAGCCATCTTCACCTGATTCAGATGGTTCGTAGCGGTCAATCAGCTCCTGGGCATGCTGGGAACTCTGCTCTCCCTCCTGCTGCTCTATGCTCAGGAAGTTCTCCAGCTCGTCCAACATTAACTTCTCTCCATCTCCGGAGTAGTCCTGGAACACCTTCCACACTTCATCCCTCTGAGTCAGCATCCTATAGAAATGGACGAACTGCTCGATTTCCAAAGAGCCACTCTCCGACTTGTCAGCCATCTGTGGAAATAAAGGTGGTTTGGAAACAGTTGGGGGAAAAGCACTGAGTTGAACAACACTTAATTCTGTTCCACAACCTAGTCAGACCAAAATGCAACATCAGGCAACAAGGAATGAAGGAGGTCTAATGGTCAGTGAGTCACAGGTTCAATCCCTGCAGCAACCAACGCGTTCACCAAGAAGCAACGACAGCTCACCGTGAAGAGATGCAGAGCGTGTTCCTCATTCATGTCTACATTCATCATCTTCAGCAGTGTCCGCACCTCTTTGAAATTCATCTTCCCGTCTTTGTTTTTGTCGGCTTTCTGAAACCAGTCCCAGACCCACCTGAGAAGACGCTGAGGGAAACGTCAGCTCACAAGTGGATGAATGGTTCAAATTGAAAAAACTTCATTCAAAATCGTTACAATCAGCTGAGAGAGGAATGTACGACAGTAAAAGGATACTGGTCCAGCCTCTCCTTCTCATCCATCGTTTGAGCCTTGTGAATCAGCTTGCGCACTCCCTGGATCCAGGCCTTGGCTTCCTGCGGCGAGTCGGCCACAAGGTCCAGGTTGCCTTGGCGGCCGTGAAACACTAAGGTGAAGCAGACGTCAGCGGGGAACTCCTCAGCGATGCTCAGCAGGACCTCCGACTGGTGGCCCTCACGCACAGCCTCCACCTCGGTAACTGAGACTGAGACATGTATGGATGGTTAAAGTAATAGTTCAGTGTTTGGAGGATTACGCTATTTTTATTATGCATTTCATACACTTCTGTTTTAGGTTTTATTGAGCTTGGGTTGGGTCAGGAAGCATTGTTGTTGTGGACCTTTAAGGCCAGTTTATATCGGTTTATATCGGGTTATATCGGGGTTTATATCGGTTTATATCGGGCACCTGTTTCGGTACTCACACGTGGAGTGGCCTTTCCCCGCCCATCTGGACTTGTACCAGATCGTCAGGCCATCCTCCAGCAGGCGGAAATGGCGCTGCTTCTTCCACGATTTTGACTTGACTTTTCTCAGAGTCGACCCCGCTATCATCACCTTGACATCTGGGTCATCTTGGATACCTGCGCCGAGTCACGGTTAGGGTTAGTATATGTAAAGTATGTATATGTAATGTAAAAAGGTCATGATGATGTCATACCTCCAATACTACACAATCAGAACTGGCAGGCCAGGGAGAAGACTCATTGTTCTGTTATTACCGATTCATTTAGGAGATACAGACCTAACACTGAGTTCAACTTCTATTAGATCCTAAACCTTCATTCAAATTGCAAAATCATCACAATTTCTCTTTACTCATTCTCAGTGGATAACATTTACTCACGTGAACCTTCAGGATCCATTGCTATTCTTGAATCATGCCAATGGAAATGTGTTGCCAAAAAGAAGGAGATGCGGGCGAATTGTTCCAGATGCTTTCCCCTGTTTCCAAACAAAATACATTTTGTAAAAGCTCTGTGTTCATTCAACTGATGCTTATAACCTAAATACAACTAATAATAGCAGAATATTAATCTTCAAATCGAAACAGTTATACAAAACCTCAGTACACCTGCTTCAACCTTACTGTAGAGAAGTTTTTATTTAGGAAGGACATGGTTCCCTTTAATAATACAGGACTTCCCTGCTGATGAGTTGGGTAGTCAGGTGGTGAAGGGAATCTATTACTGTTATTTTTAACTGTAAGATCTGGGCTCAAACCCCTGAGCGGGCACGTGACTGCTCTGCCAAAGTGTCCCTGAGCTTCAAAGCGCCTGGCTGTCGACTTTCGGTGACACTGTTTTATGATGGCCATGTCTGTAATGCATTACTAACATATAGCGCTATAATCTGTTTATAGCACTGCATTATAGTCATAAGCACTCATAAATACTCATAATGCTTTATAGCAATAATCATAACACATCATAAAGCACTTTATATGACTTATACCATCAGGTATCATAATACTTCATAACTGCTGGTCACTTACTGAACTCTCTTTTTTGCCAGGATCAGTATAATTCCCACAGTTGTAATACATTATGAAGGTTTGATCAACAAAAGTGAAAAAACTGTCTGTTATGACCCTTTATATACAGCTACAGGTAAAGTAAAAATTGTTTCAGGAATTATCTATATTTTGAGTCAATTGAGACTTTAGATATTTTTTTTGCGGGGGGGGGGGGCATCACATTAGTGAAATGTAAATGTCCATCAATCACTTGTGAATCCTCAAAAGGTTGTATCAACTCGGAGTACTCAATTCCTGCTAATCCACAGCCTATGGTTATGAGCCATTACTTTTTTCAGGTCGCTTAAACCAAACAATGACCCATTACAGTAACTTATAATCACATTATAATGCATTGTAAGAGTGGTTATTATCATCGGGGCAACTGTGGCTAAGTGGAGAGCAGGGCTGGCCTTCAATCAGAAGGTCAACGGTTCGATCCCCCTGAATTGTAAGTCGCTTTGGATAAAAGCGCCTGCTAAATGACTGTATTGCAATGTGGTGTAATTATAAAAAAAAAGATTACAGTGAATTACAACTATGGGAATTACTATGATCCTTACAAAAATGTCTGAGTGACCAACAATATTCAAGTATTATAACACTTGACCTTATAAGTCATTATAAAATGCTTTATAATGTGCTATGATTGTTGTTATGAAGCATTATGGATCTTTAGGAGTGCTTAGAACTCCAATTGTGCCACAAGCTGATTATAATGCATTATAAGTATGTTTGTAAAGAAATGCATTACAGACATGGCGTCACAGAAAATGTTACCTAACTTTTAGACTTGTTAGCAGCTGAATCAACCCTAAATAAACACACAAAACCATTGTGAAACAGGTCAGGTCATCTTTTAGCCCAAAATCATAACATTGAGTGTTTTGCAATCTGATCATCATACAGCCTGTTATATACTTATCCCTTCATAATGTGTCGCATCAGAAGACAGAGGGAGTACCAAACCGAATGAGACAAATGTGCAGCAGACCTGCTGCTTATCGTGTAAAACCGATAAACTCCTGCTATCTCTGGTGCTCGCTGATAAATGTGGATGAAATACTTCCGGAAAGGGAAGGTTTTCTAAAGTCTGTATTACTGTATTCCTGTCTGACAGCGATCCTTTTCTTTCATTGTCTCCTGAAACAACAAGATCTAGTCTTGGGTTCTATGTGCTTCACAACCCACTGTACCAGCCCCCCCCCCTCCCCTCCCCAGCCCCAGCAAGTTTAGGAGAAAAGAAGCCAGAGTTCTCACCACAACATGACTGATGCGATGCAAGGAATGCTTTTGCAGTTACACACAATTTATTATCACACTCCTACTGAAAAAAACAACCGACTGACTGACTTACCATGAAGAGCCGTGAGGCTTATTTTCCACAGCTATTTGCTCCACAAACTTGTTGTGCTTTCACTGCAGGGCCACGTCAAAGACGTTTGTATTTCCCATCCGAGTTCTTTCAGATTCTATTTCACTTGCTGAAAGTTCAACACACCCTCCTTCATACTTCACGTGCAGACTTTTGAGCTGCAATTAGGTCACATTATGTTGTTTTATTTTTGGGGCCATGCGTTTTGGATGGGGAGCGCTCTCTCCTTTGGCGAGATGAGTCACACAAGGCCACTTCTTCAGGGAAGTCACTGACCACAAACACACACACACACACACGCACACACACACAAAGTACATGACTAACGGGCGCATTGAGAATAAACAAGTCAGTCATGAAGACCAACAGCTTCATGCTTTCATCTTGTGTACTAGTGTGTAGTCTAGGTTTAAATCCGTTTTATCCAACATCGTAACGTTCCACTTCCTCTGTACAGTGGGATCTGTGTCCTGATATTAACTCATGACTGCTTTTTTTTCCTCTTCCTGCACACAATTATGTGAAGAATTTCACACACACGTGAACAGGCAGTGTCGGTCCAGTAAAAATCCATATATAACTCTGGCTAGGAGAAGGACTGTGCACAGTAAATTAGAACCAGAGGCAGAAATATGAGACATAAAAGCATCACTTCAGCAAAGCCCATATGCAACCGCAGCTGAAGAAAGAAAGAATGAGTCAGTCAAACTACAATATATATATATATATATATAAATTTTCCTTACTTACCAAAAGTGAAGATCTCTCTGGGGATATTGTAAGTCAGAACTCCAGAGGTGGGTACTCTTCAGGAGACGGCTCTCCCAGAGAGGGCCTCAGATACTGAGGGGTAGGACCCTGGATGGCCGGCCTGAGAGAATGCTCAGGGATGTGTGTGTGTGTGTGTGTGTGTGTGTGTGTGTGTGTGTTGCCCTGTGTGCTGAGATCCAGACTCGCGGAGAGTCCAGAGACTGTTAGCTGAGCTCAGGGCCTTAAAAGACTGGGAGTGTCATAAGGCAAATCTGGCTCAGCCTCCTCCCCTCTCACTGCCGGGTCTAGGAAACCAGATTCCCTATAGTCACTGCTTCCGCACGCTGGTACGCTCTGCTCCCGCCCCTCCTCATCCTCCTCTACACCCTCCCTCCTCCTCCTCCCCCCACAGCCTTCCTTCCTTTCCTGCCACCCCCTTTACTGCATCTGGTGGGGGTCACTCCCCTCAGCCTGCTTCGCCTCGTTCTTTCTCCCTCATCCTCTGGGTAATCGCTGATGCTCTGCAGAGGGACTTGTGTTCCTGTATCAGCGCTGATAACGGAGTAATACAATTCTTGGAAAGAAGGCTTGCTGTGCCGGGGGGAAAGAAGCCCAATCATAAAACAATGAGAAATAGCTATAGTGCATGAAAAAAAACAAAAACGAATATCCTGAAATCTGATCTCAGAAGATTGCAACAGTCTGCGTCAGGGACGATAAAGGGCTGTACTGTAGATCTTGGCAGTATGCCACATCCTGCAGAGCAGAGCCTTGATTGGTAGACCATCTTTTAGTTACACTTTTGATACATATCTCTACGGTCCGACATGCACGTGAAACTGCATTGATAATAGTTTTAATATGCAAATAAATCATGGGTGAATATGGACAATGTGGATGTCTGACTCACAAATAGCAACATAGACGTCACTTTCCCTCCAACCAGTCGTACTAATGCACTCCGTTTGAAAGGAATGGCTTCAGATACTTTCCTCATGAAAGGTAAACGGAGAGACACACACACAACGCACTTAGGAGCTTCTCCTACGGGGATTGGATTTGCTCACAAATGGAAGGATTGAGCGGAGGGGGGGGGGGGGGGGGGGGGCAAAGGTTGGTGTCCATCTCAGTCGGGAGGATAATGGAACCTTTTTTGGGGGTGGGGGGGGGTCTGTTAATGTACTGGTGAAAGCTCGTCAGTGTTCTGAGTGAGCACTCAGTGAGTGCAGGTGTGCCGCTTTCTCTTCTGACTGATAAAGAATGATGGACCCAGTCTAAAACAAAGTACTTCAAAACTTTTACTGCAATATTCCTCAACTTTAAAAAAACAGCTGTTCTTTATTTACATCACTAGTGACAATAACAGCTCATCTGAGCTAATGCAACAATTGATTAATTAATCAATTAAAACTAAAGCAAAATGAATTAATCAATTAAAAATAGTTTTAATCATTGCTGGCCTGGCGTACACAAAGCCAGTTAACACAATGAACTAATCAGAAAGAAATCAACTGGTTTGCTAAACTGCTGCATGTAATCAGACCAAAGAAGAACAAAAAGAGACACAACTAGTCAGAAGATTAAAAAGTCTTATTTGAAATGAGAGAAGCAAAAAAATAACAGTTCCTACTGTGAAGTGGAATGTTACAGAAAGTTACAGTGATAAACAGGGAAAGGCGAGAGCTGACCGATATATTGGTAGAGCTGATATTAACAACCGACACTAGCCTATCAGATATATCAGTACCGATATGCTGACAGACATCCAGACAACCAAACTGCAGTGTGGTGAAACGCAGCAGTTAACGTTTTACAGGCTGTATTTTAACGTTAGTTTTCTCCCTCATTTCAAGTTAAATATACTTTTCTCCTGTAACTCAGTTATTACAATATTGTTTCAATAGTGAGGTATTTTGTTAAACAGAGAAAATGTCATACTCAGACATATCTTTCATGTTGCGACATGAATGTCATAAACAAATACCAGCCAATATATCATTATTGGTTTTAATTTTTCCTCAAATATCAGTTATTAGTATCGGCTTTGAAAATCTACAATCAGTCCGGCTCTCAAAAAAAAAAAAAAAAAAAAAAAAAAAAAAAAAAAATTTTCAGCTGTGAAGAAGTGACCGTGTGTGGAAGTGACATACTGGCAGAAAAAAATACAACAACAACTGGTGTAATCCAAAAAGCAAATCTTTCTCCATTATGTCCTTCCCCTTTTGTCTTACTGCCACATTGGGCAAAAATACAAAATCTAGACGGTGATGAGAGTCCTTCTGTGTCGGCTGCAAACACTCCGTCCTCATCACTGCGGAGCCAGCGGGATGCCTCTGGCGTCGGTGACTTGGCCCTCCTGCAGGTTCTTCACCAGCTGTGCCAGCCAGCGCTTGGTGGTGGTGTCGTCCTTCAGCACCTGGGCGAAGGTGCTGTCTTTCAGCTGGTCTGGCAGACACTGACGCAGGGCTTCTCTGGCCCTGAGGAAAAGAATACCACGTGTCACAAAAACCACCCATATACTTCTCTGTCAACATCTGGCTCTAAAAGAGACAACTTCTCATGTTGCATGGCTCCAAATGGAAGTGAGAGGTACACCTTATTCCTGACATGCATTATTAATACTACTTAAAGGGATACTAGCTATAATGGGCTATTTCTCCTACCCATTAGGTTGATATACTAAATATTGGCAGACTTAAAAAAGCCCAGTGTGTAGCGTTTCTGAGGAACTTGTAGCAGGAATGAAATACAAGTACAATATCTGTGTTTTTGATAAGTGTATAAATTACCTGAAACTAAGAATCGTGTTTTTGGCAGCTAAGAATGAGTCCTTCATATCTACATATCGCGCAGATTCTATTTGATTCCGCATATTACCGCGTTTCCTGTGAAAGCACTGAGCTAGGGGGGGGGGGGGGGGGGGGGGGGGGGGGGGATGGGGGGGGGGGGGAAGGGGGACTTGTGGCAGAAATTGATGGTATACAGTAACCAATCCTGGCCCCACAGTGGTGGAATGAACTCCCCACTGACATCAGGACAGCAGAGTCGCTGCCCATCTTTCGGCGCAGGCTGAAAACTCACCTCTTCAAGAAGTACTACCCTGAGCCTTCCACTTACCACTTATTGTATTCGTATTGGTTTGTTCAGATCATTATCTAATAAATAATTAGTGTATAAACATTAGATTCTGATCCCAGGCTGACATGTCACTAAACACTGGATTTGTGTAATGGCTCCTCCTAGTGGCAACTACTGACAGTTACATTCTTCAGTCATATTCTCAGTCCCGTCAAAGTTTCCAGAGTCAGAAAGGGTAAAAAAAATGTAATATCGACATGTTAATATTAAACATTTGATAATATTGTGTAAATAATCCAGCACCTATTAAATCACTTGACATCTACAGTTATGGTTACAGACCCTCTTGTATTTTTAGTGTGATTAATTTGCCCAAAAAAGAGACAAAAATATATTTATTTTGGCCACTATAATTTGTGTAGTAAAACTACAGTGAAAATCTGATATCGTGACGTCCCTATGAGGGACTTGAACCTACCGTACACAAATTACCAGCCAATCAAGAGGCAACGGTAAAACAGGTGAGCACATACGGTGTATCGCATCGGTTCAACATTGCTCTACCTGAGATTGTCTGAGAGGCGAAGGTAGCAGCGGACGACGTGCTTCAACAGGCGAGCTGATGGTTCTTTAGAGAGCTGGAGCACCATTTTGCCCTGCAAAAAAAAAAACACAAAACAATAATTTTATATATATATGCAATGGGGACTGCTGGGGCCAATGTTGCACTGTGCAGAGAGCCTCAGAATTCAGATGTTTCTCAAAACACTTACGAGGATCATGGCCACGTGGGAGAAGCGTTCATACGTCTGACATATATAGGCCAGCCCTGTGTCATCCAACAAGATCTTCTGCAGTATAAAAGTAGCAACCTGCCAGACAAAAGGAAGGGAAGAATTTATGTTTCTGGAACTGAAAAGAGTAAAAAAAGAAAGACGGTAAAATTAGCACTACAGCAGTAGTAAAAGCTCATATTACTAAATAAAAAGCAGCAGGTTGGGAGAGATGACACAGGGTTTTATTGATTACTGCATACCAACAGTCAAGTTAGTGTACAGGTCAGTTAGAGGACCGTATGAAAAGCAGCTGGAACAGTTCAGTACCGTCTTGGAGAGCTCACTCCCTGATTCCATGATGCGGAGACACAGCGGGATGATTTCGGTGGTGAGGAGGAAGTTAATCACTTCTTGTTCGTCCGTTTTGACCAGAGCACCTGCCGTAAACACGGAAACACAACTCGGTGAGAGTAACGACGACACCGTTTTAATGGAAAGAACCATCATTTAAGAAATAAAACCCATAAGCAGGAGGGAAGCATTACCTATAACTCCGAGGCTGGTAAGTCGCAGGTACTCAAACGGACGTGTTTTGCTCACAGTGTGCAGAAAGGGGTAAAGGAAAAGAGGGATGTGAGCAGCAAGAAAGGCCGACCTGGTGAAGGGACAAAGAAGTAAAAGCATTTTAAAATCAACGTGACCAGACTCTTATACTCTTATATCAGAGGTAAGCTGCAAGGTCCCTTTATACCGACATGGATTTTACTGAGAAAGGAGACAAAAGTAAAGTACCTACATTAACATTACAAGCAATTAACTGAACAGGGATTAAAAGCCCTAGTTCTTGGATGTGAGACTAATTCCTATGTCAATAAAAAAAAAAATACATTTAACAAAGTAAATGCCACAAAAACCAGTGTCATTACTTTTCCATTTAAAGAACTCCCTATTACCGTGTCTCTGGGTGTGAGGCAACACACTGCAGCAGTGCCAGGGCATTGCACACTCTGTTAGACTGGTGAGCTGTAAGCGTGGGTGGGTTTATAGATGGATAGATGTTCACTATTTCCTAATAAAAAGAGAAAGAAATAAGACGACAGAAATCAGTTAAACTTATCTTTAAAAATGCCACGCAACAGCACATATAATGAACACGCATGTATACTAGGTAGCACAGCTAGGGGGGGGGGGTCCATACCTGCAACAGGGCAGCAATCGTGCCACAGGAGTGCCAGAGCATTGGGGCCAGGTCTGGCACAGACTCGCGCTTCTTGCTCAACTCCAGCAAGGCATTCTCTCTGGTCTCCGGACTGGACAGCTCATTGATCCATTGGTAGATCTTCTCCCGGTCTACCTGGGCCAGAGCTGTGACGTTAGTAACAGCCTGTTTAAGGACGGGAACACAGTCAAACGCATCCATTATCGCCATGCAGTTACACTTTGGATACTGTCAATATGAAGGTGTGAGAAAAGACATTATCTGCCATTTTGCTTATCATAACAATACTTATCTTTACATATCTTATGCGTGTTACAGCTAGACACATTCACATTATTGAAATCAATATATTCAACTATATCAGCTTCATCCTAGCGCCTCTGTGAATTAATTGGCAGTTGTTTTCTGAGATCTACGTAAGTTATTATTATGCCATCACCTAGTTATGTCAGATAAAGTATGTATTTCGTAACAGACCCAACCATTGCAAGCTGTGCAGCCAAACATGGTCCAATGCCACAAGCTATTTTAAGCTTCAAAAGATACCAAATGTGAATTTGGTGAAATACGAATACGTGGTGCAGAAGACATCTACAATATTTCCATTTGATGAAATGGTGTAACCATAAAAAAAAACAACCATGGAGTCCTGGGAGTTACATATTTCCCTCGATATAAAACAATGATAAAACTTAAATTAAGAGTTGTAACATGATACTCCATATATGTAGCCAATACTGTCAGACAGTGTTGGACATTATAGTTTACAACCAAAAGCAAAATATAACGTTAGAAAAGATTGTAAAAGTATGTTAAGGCGGCTGATAGCGCACATTACACTGATATTAAGATACTCACTGCTCCCGTGGCCAGCATTCTCTGAAGCGTTGTGTGGTCCCGAGGTGTCGTTTAAACTACTGTATCAGCTGAAGTGTTGTGTAGCAGCAAACTAACGTGGCTGCAATGAAACAAACTTGGCGAAACCAACACACAGCACGGGCAGCTAGCCCAAGCTAGCTGCTAACGTTAGCGTTAAATGTCTCGTCAAACGGAATCCAGTAGCTACGCGCGAACATCAACATCACAAACAACATAACTTCACATCAATATCAGCATAACAAAACGTTAATATGTTCCGTATCGATAACGGCTTCGATAGATTGACGGCTATTTACCAAATAACATTATCCAGCGGGTAGTTTTTGTTGGCAATGGAGGCAACCAACCTAAATACAAATCGCCAAGATACCGCGAGAGCAGGATCGGACGCACTCTCGGCGATCATTTCCGTTGTCAATTTTCACATTCCCGCCATCATCGCGCAGTGTTGCGAGGCGTCGTGTGCGGGTCCACTGTCAACAACATACGTACTGGGGAGCAGGTGAATGCCGGCAAAACAAACTTTCTGCCGTCGGAGGACCCACGGAGACGTTACTGTGATTTAAAAGTTTCAAGACGACCACGTATCATCGACAGGTAAAGAACGGCGACGATTTAATCAAACTGTGAGACTGTTTTCATCACCAAATTACAATCAGGCAAATTAGCCAGTTAGCTAGTTCCCGCTAGCATACTAGCCGACTTGCTAATGTCGGCCTCCCCTCCATTCAGCGTCTGTAGATGAGGGGACGACATCTACATCCCATATATTCGGCTTGGCTGTAGCGTTAGTCACCCTAGCTGACTCTTTTTGTGACTGTTCGTCTTGTCAGAAAAACGTTAACCAAGCAAGAAGTGAGGAGCGCTGGTTGCACTGTGTCGCGCATCTTCGCTCGTCTTTGCTGCCGCGGTTCAGAGTGGCCATCGGGTTAGTTTGACGGCTAACGCAGACCAGGCTACTACATTGACTCTTACTTGAACTGCTAGCCAGCTAACACAAGTGGCTTGAGTTCCTCCACTTCGTCAAACGCTCACCCATGTCTGTCGAACATGTTGCTGCGAGTGTAGTCTATTTTAAAGTGTGCTGTGTTTTAGCTGTTGTGCTAACGTTATGCTGCATGTGGTTGAGTTTGTTGTGACTTTAAACAAGCGCTCAGTAGTAAACCGCTGCACGTAGCGGCTTAGCTTAATTGCGTTATTTATATTTGTCATCAGCTGAGTAATAGAAACATCGCGAATAACAAGTGTTTTGGGGAGTTTTTTAAAAATGTGTATGGTTTATCATTGAGCTCATTAGCATACGCTTGTCAGTGGCAGTAAGTATGGTAAATCGGTGGCACTGATGTGATTAAAGCGTGACATTTATAATCTAAATCTATGTAGACTGGACACAGATGGTGGGCTGTAAATGACACACTTGTGGTTGTAATGACATTGATTATTTAATTTCCCTCTTGTATAGGATTTGTTTGATCACAAGTCCCAGCCTCCAAAAGTGCACCAACTGGATAGTAAGCCATGTCAACCATAGTGCCCAAACTGTCCAGCGGTGGCGCTGTAAAGATCCGCTTGAGCAGCATGGACATGGGCACCACCAGATGGAAGGAGGGCACTTTTGAGATTCTGGAAAAGGACAGCAAAGTCAACCTGTGTATACGATTCAGCTGTGGCGGAGCTTCCAAAACCTTCCAGGTATTGTTCAGTTTGCAGATACTCAATAACAGGTGCCGCTGTGAAAACATTGGTTGGATTCTGAAGCATTTGTTACGCTTTTCATTGTGATATTTTGAGATCCACCACTTGAATATTTGAGTCTCGTCTTTAGAGAAGTCTTGGGTGTTTCTCCCTTTTATGATAAACATATCGGAGGCTTCAGGAACATCCGGTGATATGGATGCTAGCTGTTTGTTGATGCTTGTACTTTACTCTGCAATATTCAGTCATGGCTCGCTTGTACAACAAGCATTAAGATACAATTTCAAGGGTTTGGAAGCATTGATGCTGTGAAATGTACAAAAATTAAACATATAACTTAAGTTAGGAAGGAACACACCTCAAAGACCATGGAGTAAATTCATTTCAGTGTAACATTAATAGGCAACTAAAGTATTCAATTGTAATTATTTATGGAAAAATGTACGAGATAGATAAATAAAACGATAATTAATCAATTCATTTGACTATATTCAGTGTTTGTCCTATATTTATATTTCTATATATCTATCTATCTATCTATCTATCTATCTATCTATCTATCTATATATATATATATATATATATATATATATATATATAATATTGTGAGCGCCGCTGCTAACATTTCACAACAGCTGAGGAGAGACGGGTGACGCGAAGTTGACGTTGGATTTGGTGTTTTTTTGTTTTTAGCTGAGCTTGCCCGGAGAATATATCTGAAGTGTTAATTTTTAACAACAAAAATAGAATGCGGCAGAATGAGTGTCTTCATACCCCCGTACCCATCCGCTGGCCCAAAGCAGACGAGCTTGTGGAAACATCTAATCTAGTTTTCTTTTCTTGCCCTCAGCTGAGCCAGAACTTGAAGACTGTGAACCAGAATGTGAGCCGAATCATGCTGACTTTGAAGGACAGCAGTGTCATCGTGCTCGACAAGATTCCTCCGAGTTTGCTTCAGAAGACTAAAGAATACCTGGAAAAGCTGAAGCAGGGAAAGCCAAGTAATTACACCACTGCTCATTTTAAGAAGTTGCAAAGCTTTGTTGATGGTCCGCAGCATGATGGAAACCAAAGGAAAGTGATCGCTGCCTGTGATATTGACTATCATGGTTTGTGATTGAGCCGGGTACAAAGTCATTATTTTAGTCACAGCTTTGCTTTAGCTGTATTTCTCTTGGTCATGTTGACTTGGTACAGAGACAAAGAGGGGCATTACTTTTTCTTCCTCTTATTAATAAGCTATGAACAATTCATTTAAATACACATACACAGTATTACAAAAATAATGACTAAATGTTTGTTTTTTTCAGTTGGACTTTGACACATCCTTAATTAAAGAATTGCCAGATTAGATAAAGCATCAAACTGTTAAGTCCTGTTATACTTGATTCTGATGCAAGTTTGTCCTGCTCCTTCTACTCCTGATACTGTGTGATACTGTGTGCCTTTTGATTTTGATAACCAGTCTCTTCTTAAAGAACATGGGTACGTCTAAAGATAACAACACCAGTACATTGAACCTCTCTCTGCCGATCTGGCCCCAATCTCTCCAAACAAGTCATTGCTTTTCTTTATTTAAATTCAGCAAATAGTCACAAAGCTTGAACTCAAGAGCAGCCGATACATTGATCGTGGTTCCCCAGCACAAAAACACACAATTCAAATTATTAGTAAATTGTTATATATGTATGTATTTTTTAAATGTATGCTTCATTTAAAAAAGTATTGCCATTAGCAGTTTAAAATAGATATTATAAGCTTCTTATAGCTAGTGTAAGGAAGTTACACAGGTAGCGCAATACCTAGCTGTAAAAACGATACAATATTTATTATTTACTATTATTATTATTACTTGTACTTTAATTATGACAGTGTTTTTAATAGTAACAGTTCTTATGAGTGGCGTCAGTGGGCCGCAGTGGGCTAGTGTGTGTGTGTGTGTGTGTGTGTATGCAACGCGCTGCGGAAGGACTGGATTGGGATCACGATCGGGCGGTTTTAACTTTGCAGCAGTCAAAAAGTAAAAAAAGGCGGGTCTTGTGTCAGCCAGAAAGATAGAATCAACAAATTAATTCAAAAAGATCAAAGCAGGTCATGAACCGTTTGCCCAGTCCCGCTCTGAGCTGGTAAAAATAACAAGGAATATAACAAACCGGCTCTAATTACAACCTAATGTACTGATACAATTAGGTTCACCATCATTTCTGAATCTGTCCAAGCACCTCCTGTAACTCAGCAAACTCATAAACCACCAAAGAGCACACGTTTAGGTATTAGTTTACCGTATTTCTCAGTAACATGAAGTGGACTGAGGGGAAGAATCGGTCTCCACAAACACCACTTCCTGCAGTTACGATGGTGTTTTTCCCTCGTCAACTTCTCTCAGAACTTCATCTGCATGTTTTATAATGCGGGGGCGCTGTTCTACCAAAACAAGTGTTTTTAAATTCCGTTTAATGTGATATCTGGTTGCAAATATGAAGTTAAATAGCAAAGAAATTTGAATATGTGTACATTTTTTTAAATTCATACATTTTTAATATTTTTAATTAAGAGGAAGAAAAAATTCAAGTTCCATAATCCGTGGTCTATTATTCCGTTACGCTCCCTGACATTTTAGATAGTTGCCGTGATATCGTTTCAGTGTTGTCATCGAGTAATATAAAGTATTGTATTTCACGTGCTTTGTCCTGATTTCTTTGTTCTTTTTTAAACTTGGCAGTTTTAAAATCATCCCATGGAAGTGCAAACTTCAGTGTGCTCGGGAACCGCTCTGTGAAAAATGACACCAATCCCTCAGGGGAGAGACAGGTGAGCAAGAAAACGCCACGTTTTCTTAACTTTAAATTAAGAGACGTGTACACCGACATTTGACTGAAGTTTCCTAACCTCTTCCAGACTACGCCGAGGCGGCAGAGTGCAGAAGGCAGAGAGGACACGACACCGCGAAAGCCCCTGGGCAGCCCGAGCAGAGCTGCCTCCACTCCTACTCGCACCGGACACTCTGAGAACAGGTATGGTGGAAATCCATGTTGCTGTCAATATGCAAATTATGTCATGTGATCAATTTGATGAGGCGATGAAGGTTGGCATCATTACAATGGAGCTCAGCCTGTGTTGTGTTCTTTCTACCGATAACAGACCCTTGGCAGGCATTCCTTGTGACGATCTTCCTGTGTATGACTGTTGTCCTAATGGAGAACTTTGACGCCTGTCATTAGCTCTCATGGTTTTGTCTTTCTTTCCAGTTTAGGATTGGTCGGTTCAGGTTTGTAACATGAATTGTTCCGTGTCATTGTTTTTCCAGGAGCGAGAAGAGAAAGAGACTCCTGACCTCAGAAAGTGACCTGACCGAGGACTACCCCAAGGAAAATGACTCATCAAGGTAAAAGCAACACGCCTCACTGCCCACACTGAACTCCAGTGGGTGGTGGATACACATGCAATGACCTCACTTCAGAAACCTTTTGTCTCTGTATCTGGTGAAAACAAGGATACCAGAATGTTAATATATACAGGATTATAAAGTGTTATTTGCATGAATAATGGCTTTCATTGGCAGAATGGAGTTTTAGATTCCACAGTCGGGTAACATCCAACAATCAATGTACTTGTATCCTCAGCAACAACAAGGCCACTTCGGACCCATCCAGGAAGTTTCTGCTGAGCTGCAAAGAGAAGCTGAAGCAGGCAGAAGAGAACCGGAGCTCAGGTAAACGTCGACATCCACAACTTAGCAGCAACACTTTCTATATGTTGCTGCTGATGTCTTTGCATGATAGATTTACCTATCAGTGCGCCACACATCAGTGCTCCACACAAATACATGGCATCAGCTTTTGGTTGCCGAAACTGAAAATATGGTTGCCATTTTTAGTCACCTTAAATTTGAGCAATTGAGATACTAAGCAGTTATATGTCAGCTTAATAATATAAATGTAACATAAAAGCTTTGTTACAGTAAACAAGTCTTTGTAGTTTGTGTTTTATTTGAAACTTTACAGAATTTGAATGTACAGAGCATCAACCTGTGTATTCAGACCTAAAACTGACATCATGCTTCGCTCGCCCTCAGCTCCGCTGGGTTCAACTCCCCTTCAGCCGACGTCGTTCTACGGGAGCCGCTCTGTGACGAAAGACTACAGCCAGAGCCACTCCTTCTTGGACAGGTGAGTTTCTGTCGTGGTCAGCTAAAATGTACAAGCTAGCGTTGTTCTCAAAATTTAATTGAGAAATGTTAGTTGTACTTGAACGTAATTGTTAAGTTGAAGCATGCAATCATTGTGGGGCCAGAGATTCACATCTGTCTAATCCCCCCCCCCCCCCAGGCCATCCAGCACAGCTCAGACCACTACAGCCAAGAGAAGCCTCATGCTGCCCAATCACTCCACTCCCTTCAAGAAGGTGCGCACCTCTCTGGACTACAGTGGCTGGAACAAGCAGCGGCCCTCCACTCTGGCCCAGCCTCAGCCCCCGCTGCAAGGGTAAGAATCAGCCACATGTGAAGAGAGACTGGACTGCGTTCATTTTGGATGTTGTGAAACCAAAGGATGACCAAGGAAAATCAGAAAAAGATGTGTATGCGAGAGACAAAAAATGTCTCCCATGAAAACCATGTCTCTGTAAGCCCTGTAAGAAGTTGTGTTGGAAATTCAAGGCAAATGCATCATTTCACTTTCATCCATTGTGTAAATCCTGTCGTTCATAATTATCCCAGATTTTCCAACCTGGGCAACACTTGCTACATGAACGCCATCCTGCAGTCCCTCTTCAGCCTGCCGTCCTTCTCCAGCGACATGCTGAGGCAGAGCATCCCGTGGAAGAAGTTGCCCATCAATGCATTGCTGAGGTACGACGCTAGTCTCTGTAGACTCGGCAAGAATCATTCCTTCATTCATGCGTTCGTTAATGGACTCCTTTTGAAAAAACAACCTGACTAAAAGTCTTTTATTCTGCGCGATGTCTTCGCTGCCTGCAGGCGTTTTGCTCACCTTATGGTGAAGAAGGACGTGGGCTGTCCAGAGACAAAAAAGGACCTCTTGAGGAAAGTGAAGAGTGCCATCTCCTCCACGGCTGAGCGTTTCTCTGGAAACATGCAGAATGTAAGATGTCCCTCTGGAATCAATGGTTCAGAGCAGTTGTTGTAGATAGGTCTGTCTCAGTTTTGTACGTCCCGTCGGTACATAACCCTCCTCTTACATTCATTAATTGTGCTTAATTCAGTCCCGTGCGTGTCCCGTTGTTTCCCAGGATGCTCACGAGTTCCTGAGCCAGTGTTTGGACCAGTTAAAGGACGACGTGGAGAAAATGAACAAGAGCTGGACAAACGAAGCCGCGGCGTCCTCGTCGTCCTCGTCGTCCTCTGTGCCATGCGAGAACGGCCAGGAGGCGACGTCGCCGGCAGCCAAGGCGGAGCCCGGCGAGGAGACGGACACCTCGCGCATCTACACCTGCCCCGTGGCGGTCAACATGGAGTTTGAGGTGCAGCACACCATCACCTGCAAAGGGTGAGAGGCCCATCTCCTGCTTGATCACCCGAGTTTATACTTGCGATGTGTCTTTTGTAATGTATTTGACAATAAGTGATAGTGGCTCTGGAGAAAAGAAATGTTCATTTCTGCTTTCATGGTGTTTTGCAGATGTGGCGAGGTAGTTACCAAGCGGGAGCAATTCAACGACTTGTCCATCGACCTCCCGCGGCGGAAGAAAACCCTCCCGCTTCGCTCCATTCAGGATTCTCTGGATCTCTTTTTTAGGGTAAGAAAATTCCTCTTTGTCCACCTTCAAAGCTTGTTATATTAATTTAGTGAGCAACTAGATGTATAACTATTAAATGTGTCATGATAGAAGTTACTTTTTCCTGTTGCAGATGGAGGAAATTGAGTACTCGTGTGAAAAGTGCAATGGGAAATCAGCGACTGTTATGCATAAATTCAGCAAACTGCCCAGGTATTGGGGGGTGCAATGCAAAGATGTCGCATTCAGCTTCAAATGCTTGCAGTTGAACATATTTCAGTGTTGAGCGCGCACACACACACACACACACACACACACACACACACACACACACACACACACACACACACTGCATTTCAAACGTTAGATTAGCACCACAACTGGTACTTCCTGTAAGCATCCGTCGATCACTGCTGATGTGTGATGGCTGTGTTTCTCCCCGCAGGGTGCTTATCCTCCACCTGAAGCGGTACAGCTTTAACGCTCAGCTGTCTATGAACAGCAAGCTGGGCCAGCAGGTGGTGATCCCCCGATACCTGACCCTGCTGTCCCACTGCACCGAGTCCACACGACCCCCCTTAAGTCTCGGCTGGAGCTCCCAAACCTCCATGTAAGAAATCCTAAACGCGGTGAAATAAAATGTATGAATAATAACTTTAAACATTTACATCCTGAGCTTTTTGGTGATTGAGTAGGGTTTTAAGTAAAGTTTTTTTCTTTTCTTTTTTTGACTTTGATGCATTAAATTTGGCTGAGAGATGAGAACAAAGGTTTGTAAACCTTTTCATGTTTTTCCTCAAAGGTCAAGAACACTCAAAACATCTCAAATGGTCAACTCCTCCACAGCACCTCTCCGGTAAGTACCGCCAGTTCAAACAATGACGCATCCCTTTAAGAAAAGTGGCTTTGACGTCTTTAGACCTTAAAGCCATATATAATATAATGCATGATTTTGTGCTCAAATGGCATCACAAAATATGGTTTTAATGGGTTTCAATCGGAACATTTTTGTCCTTAAGTGTTTGTATTTTCTACGCAGTTTATTGCTGGAGCCGAGGTTGAACATCCAAAATAATTTAAAAAAGAAAGCTCACACCATCTCAAAATGATCCACAGCCACACATTAGCGTAGCCAAAATGATCACATGACCACAGCTTTAGTAAAGTGTGCTGCAACTTGTTCTCTGTTCGAGCAGCTTAATAAATTGTGTGTAGGAAACCATTAGTAGTTAATACAAACAGTGTGTCAACTGTCACATATTGCAGGAGTAAGAAAATGTCCTAAATTGTGCCCAGACTTGATTTTACTATTTGCTTATGAATTCAAGCACTGAGCTTATGACCTTGTGCGTGCGTGTGTGTGTGTGTGTGTGTGTGTAGAAGGATTGGAGGGAAAGTGTCCAACTCCAGCTGCACCTCTATTCTCTTGGACTCCGACTGTGAAGAAGAGCTGAGCAGAAAGGTGATCGCGAGCCGCAAGTGCCGCCTCAGCAGCTGTCTGCCTGACGATGACGACCGACCGGAGGAGGTGAGCAATATACTGACGGACCACGTTGGTTATGATTCAGCCTCCCGTTGTGTCCGTCGCTGTTTAGACACTGTTCTGTGTGTCCTCAGAGAGGAGCAGCGATAGACTCGGCAGACTTCGGTGGCATAAACGACGATGAGATGCTGGCAGCCGTGCTGGAGATGAGTCGTCAAGAGGCCGGGCTCTCGGATCCGCCCCCCCTGGAGGATGAGCCAACCAGCAGCCCGGACACGGGCTTTGGGGATACAGATGCCCATGACCTGGCCTATCACACAGATCTGCTGGAAACAGACAGCAAACAGCCTTCAGGTAGTCTATTCTGGGAAATAGGGGTTTATACAGGGGGCAGTCCAGTTTTAATTTCGTCTTTTAAAAATGAAATGCAGTATAATAGAGGGGTTCTATCACTAGTAGGTAACTGAATTGTGTACGGGTCGATCTTGTGTAGATGTGCTGGATTCCCTGGACTTGACCATGGATGAGAACAAGGAGAACCAGACCCCAGAGAGCGTGCAGCAGCAAGGTGAACTGGACTGGGTGCAGCAGTACAGTCTGGATCAGGAGAGAGAGGAACAGGAGTTACAACAGGCTCTGGCTCAAAGCCTCCAGGAGCATGTAAGACAACATGACATCTGCAGGGCTTTCCTTTAGGAACTGAGCGATGGCGCTGCTGCGTCTAAATACTATCGTAGCACCACGATGCCATGAAATGACCTGCGTCAAATACGCAAACTAGAAGTACGACTAGAGGTACTTTAGGAAACCATCATTTGTAAGAAATCCTTATCGAGTAACGTTACGTTGTTACTATCCAGGCTGAACCGGTGTTACATTAAAGTGCTTTCTTTTGTTTACTTTAAGGATCAGCTTATGTCATGGCAATCATCTAATGAGCAAGCAGGCATCAAACACCCAGCATGCATTAGTTGAGTGAAGGAGCCATGTTGAAACTTCTCGCCCTAAATCTCATTGTAACACCGTGTCTCCCCCTCACCCCATACAGGAGGCCCAGGAGATGAGAGAGGATGATGATCTGAAGAGGGCCACCGAGCTCAGTTTGCAAGGTATGAACCAAGAGCGACTGAATGTTGAGGAGCCGACATAATCGCTCGAAAGCAGACATTTTTTTTTGGCTGTCGTTGAGCATCTTCGGCAGACCAAGGACCATCGATGTTTTGTTGGGGTGTCGGCAGTACTAGTCTCTGGCAGATATTTGAGTCATTGCTTGGACAATGCCTGACCACTATCAATATCTCCTCACACAACAGAATTTAACAACTCTCTGCCTGAGCTCTTGTGCTCAGACGATGATTCTGGCAACGAGGACGTGCTGGACATGGAGTACACTGAAGCAGAGGCTGAGAACCTGAAGAGGAACGCTGAGGTACCAACATCTGCCCTATCATTGGTCTATCATAAGTAGCTAACTTTTCGAGCTGTATTCATAATACACAGTATAGATGGGAAACACTGAGCCGTTTTGATTCACAGTAACCTGATTATGAATGTTGTGATCCACAGAGCGGAGACGTGGCCAACTCCTTCAGACTCATCAGTGTCGTCAGTCACATCGGGAGCAGCTCCTCCTCTGGTGAGCACTCAAGTGTTTGTCTGCTGCGGCCGAGATACGCACCAATACTCCCTCACATAGGAGACAACAGGCCGATGCACCATTACTTTAATAAATAACATTCTATACAGAGATATGGATGTACAGTCCCTGACAAAAGTCTTGTTGCTTGGGTACAAGTTGACCTTAAGTGCCCCTCAAATATATTTGTAATCAATTTTTTTTTTTACAAGAAATGGCTAATTTCAATCCCAACAGCTTTTGAAATAATGTTTTGGTGCCAAATGAAACTGCTGAAAAGCATTCTAACGTTCACAGCTTGGTAAAGCCCACTGAGTCAGTTTTTGCAAAGACGAAAGTCTTGTCGCCTTGTCATATGATGCACCCAATCCTAGATTACAGCCTCACCTGTGATCAATAATTGATCAATCAATTAGTGGGTGTGTATAAAAAGAACCCCAGCACACCAGACCTTCACATCAACTGCAACTTGACCTCTGACAACATGCCTAAGATTCACCCTGAGACCAAAGCGTTGATTATCAAGAGGCTGAAGACCAGATCCACTGCTGAGGTGGCTGACACCTTCAATGTGTCTCAGCGTCAAGTACAAAGAATAAGAAAAAGATTTGAAGAGACTGGAGATGTTTTTGACAAGCCCAGGTCCGGCAGACCCCGCAAGACAACTGCTCGGGAGGACCGTTTGTTGGCTCGAAAATCCAAGGCCTTTCCACTGCAGCAGAGCTCCACCAGGCCTGGTCACCTCAAGTCCCCGTGTCAACCAGGACAGTTTGTAGAATTCTGTCTCAAAATGGCCTCCATGGTCGAATCAGTGCCCAGAAACCAGCACTAAACAAAAGGCAATTAAAAAAACGTGTGGCATTTGCCAAGGCCCACAGCCTGCTAAAAGGATGGACGCTGGAAAAGTGGCAGAAGGTGGATTTCTCAGATGAATCTTCGGTTGAATTACATCACAGCCGCCGCAAATATTGCAGGAGACGTACTGGAGCCCGCATGGATCCGAGATTCACCCAGAAAACAGTTAAGTTTGGTGGCGGAAAAATCATGGTCTGGGGTTACATCCAGTATAGGGGTGTGCGAGAGATTTGCAGGGTGGAAGGCAATATCAAGAAGTATTAGCTACCTCTTACATTCCCAACCATAAAAGGGGTCAAATTTTGCAGCAGGATGGTGCTCCATCGCATACTTCCTTCTCTACATCAAAGTTCCTCAAGGCGAAGAAGATCAAGGTGCTCCAGGACCGGCCAGCCCAGTCACCAGACATGAACATCATTGAGCATGTCCGGGGTAGAATGAAAGAGGAAGCATGGAAGACGAAACCAAAGAATCTTGATGAACTCTGGGAGGCATGTAAGACTGCTTTCTTTGCTATTCCTGATGACTTCATCAATAAATTGTATGAATCATTGTCGAACCGCATGGATGCAGTCCTTCAAGCTCATGGAAGTCATACAAGATATTAAATATGGATCTCACAGCACCACTACTTAATTCACTGATGTTATGCAACATATTTTTGTATTTGAAGTAAATTATTTGTTCAATTTTCACATTACTCTCTGTAGGCGACAAAACTTTTGTCTTGCCAAAATCTGACCTTTCTGTGTTCATTAAATGATCAATCTTTCTTCAGTGAAGCAAATTTATTTTAGTATATTAAACATAATTTGGGAGGGTTTTAGCTTTCATATGAGCCATTTCTAAAACCAATGGATTAATTAAAAGTCAGGTTATAAGCTGTTGTTTCTACAAAATGGATAAGTGACAAGACTTTTGTCAGGGACTGTATTTATTTGTTGTGTTTTTTTTTTTTAAACAAAACCTAACTGTTTCCTTACACATTAAAGAATGATCTCAGTCACTTCCACACAGTGAGGCATACAGCTTATTGATTAAACACTGGTCTCGGATCAGTACTCTGTATTGGGCCTGAAAAGGTCAGATTGGTGCGTCCTAACCTCCATCTGCCACAAATGCTCTTTATTTCCCACCACAGGCCACTACATCAGTGACGTGTACGACATGAAGAAGCAGTCGTGGCTGACCTACAACGACCTGGACGTGTCGCGCACACAGGAAGCCGCCGTACAGCGAGACCGGGACCGCAGTGGATACATCTTCTTCTACATGCAAAAGTGAGTGTCCCACAATGAAGCCGGTGGGCGTTACACGAGTTGGCTGTGTGTGTGTTTGCCCCGACACGTTTTTGGTTGTTTTTTTTTTGTATCTTGTGTGTCCTCAGGGATGTGTTTGAGCAGCTGTCTGAAATGGAGCGATCCGGAGTCAACACCACTCCAGAGGCGGGAAGGAACGTCCTGCAGCCCCTCTGAACCGCAGTAGTGGGAGCGCTCCTCTGAACAAACTCGAGTACTACTGATTGCCGTCCTTCTGTGGTCGTCTTCAGGCACTTCTTCTCCTCTACAAAGAACGCTCAACGCCCTGCTAACATGGCACCCGTGAATGCCAACGCGGGTACTAAACTGTCAAGACTCTTTAAGAAACCAGAAAATGCAGTTAAAAATGTTCAGTGGATCAAATTTTGCCTCCATGTTTTTGGGGGCTGGAGTTTTACTTTGCTATGATTTTTATCAAACAGTTTTGTAAAGTTTCCTTTCTTCGTTTGTCTCTCGATACACTTCTTCCAACTCTAAAGCCGTTCACTCGGGCTTTCACTTAAAATGCAACTAGGGAGCACCAGATGCTACTGGTGCTTCATGGATTGTACGTTTTGCAGACCCTTTATTTCCCATATAAACTAAATAAAGATATATTCTATGTTGGAGTAAGCTATTCTAGAGTTAGAGGGGTGTTGTATTTAGCGGGTACATTTTGGTGCAATATTTATGTTCCGGCTCAAACCGGCCAATTCAAATGAGCTTTCTGTCAGAGCGTGTGGATGTTTCCCAACTTGTTTTTTGTGCTTGACTTATGAACTTGTTTGTGTGTGTGGTTGTCTCCATATTATAGATTTGAAGATCTGTAAGCTTAACGAAGCCTGTTTCTTACCGTGCTTTTCTCAGTAAAGCCTACCTTATTCTTTTGGGGATTTTGACTTTGTGCCTCCCAAAACTTTTATAAATATGTATACAAGCTTTACTTTGAAAGTTGTACAACCTTATTGCTTTTGGATAAGTGTCAATCCTCGACAATGTGCAAGTACGATTTTTTTTTTTTTCCTTTATAAAAAGCCAACAGATTTTCTATTTATTGCAACATACGGTTAATATGTTAATTAACCCATCAACCTGCCATGGCGAAAATGAGTAATTTATACTAGAGCACCAGGAAGGCTAGCGGTCACCTTTAAATTCACGGCCAGTATTCAGTATTTGACACTTTAAACCTCTGCTAACCTGTTCACTAGTAGTAGCTACCCGGCGTGCTTGCTTCTGTACTAGACACTGGTTGTTCAGCTTCTTTTGTTACCGCTGTAAAAGAAATTAAATCACATTTCAGTAAACCGTGATTAATGTGCAGTGTTGGAACATGCTGTCTGCTGGACATATTCAAATTATTTCCTTAACTCACAACAGAAGAAAGTATGATACAGCATTGTAAAACATGGGTAATAAAAAGTAATCTGGATGGACCAGTTGAGATTGATACCCAGTTTAAGGAAGTGTGCATTATTATTAGGACTCCTTGAAGTACAGCACTGTTACACGATGAACGTACACACCTTGTTATAAGAGCAGCTAAAGTTACAAATTCGTTCACCTTTTAATGTCAGCATTTCTGAAACATTGCTCTCCTGAACGTCCCAAATGCCGTGTAAAGAGGGTCAAATGTCTTTGTGAAGTAAAAATGAACTGCTTTCTTTTTCTACCCTTCATACACAGCAGACTCTTCCTAAAGCAGATTTTAATAAAATACTACAGTGAAAGTGCACAGACTTTTTAATTTGATGTTTGAAAGGATATCCACGCTCACACTGCTGCACGTCTGCAGCCAGGTGATTAAAGTCCTTCAAAAGCAGTGGCCGCAGATTTGTGATTGTGTGGAACGCAGCACGGCGGTGAATACAGTCAGGATACCGAACAACAATATCGAGCACCACAGTGCAAGTTAAAGGGAGCAGGTACTCGTCACCGTGAGCTATCCTGGCTGCATCGCTTCATCAGTGGCTCCAGATGTCTCCCTGTGAGTCTGTTGTACTCACTTAGAATGTAGCTCTCCTTCTGCAGCATCTGAAAACAAATTTTGGTGTAATTTATTCACTGTGTGACAAACCATTCGGATTTGAATTAGCATATAATTCAACAAAATCATCTGGGTAGCACCCAAGCAGCATAAACGCAAGCCATTCATATCACATCATCAATAATGTTAGCAGTGTTGGAGAGTTAAACGTGTGTGTTGCGCTTTGTATGCTTGAGAGATGAAACCTGATTAAACAGAATGCATTTCATAGATGGACAGGAGCAATGAGTGGTGGCAAATGAGACTCATCTCCAGCTGGTTTGCGCATGTTTTACAGTTAAAGGGCCAGTACACCCAAATAAATAAACAAAAAACGTCTTTCCTTATTACCTCCATCAATATCAAGCCATTTTTTCTGTTTGTTTGTTCTGATCTGCCTCTAAGATATATGCCTCCACCCATATTCAATGAAACATCTTTTTTTTTTTTGGTTCTCTCATCTTTAAGAAATTTAATTTGAATAATATGACGGCAATATTGCTTTCAGGAGCTCTAGATGACCCACAGCCCGGCCATGGTCCACTTTTATGGAACTATTTGTGTTAACAAAGAAAGTGTCTCATAAAAAGAGATGAAAGTGTCTTCTGTGGGTTATCAAGAGTAACATGGAAAGTGTTCTGGTAAAGATAAATATTGCAAATTGCAATATTCAGGGGCGAGCGGAAAAAGAAACACGATTCACCTCAATTGTACTGGGGGGAGGCAGAAATGTCACAAATGCATCAGGGAACGCACATAAAACCAGAACTATCTGCATGGCTACATACCATACTAGAGAAGCTTTGGGGGAAATGTTACATTGCAACAAAAAAAAAGTTCCCATACAAACCTCAGTCCATTCTTCCTCTGTCTCATGTCTGTAGCCCAACAGGTGACAGATACCGTGTGCAGTGATAACCTAAGGCACAAGAGGAGCAGTTAAAAAAAACAATATTATTTATTAAATGTATTGTGCATCATGAAAGAAAGTGCCACTGCAAATCTGAACACATGACAGTTGGTGGAATTCAATAAGGTATATACAGTGGGTACGGAAAGTATTCAGACCCCTTTAAATTTTTCACTGTTTCATTGCAGTCATTTGCTAAAATCAAAAAAGTTCATTTTATTTCTCATTAATGTACACTCAGCA